CTATAACTTCCGGTTTGCTTATCGTGAAATGAGACTCATGTATCTCCTAAGATGGAGATTAGGCGTTTAGATTTGTTCTTTAGCCCGAGTATGTCACATAACCACTGACCCTTTCAAGAACAGATTTAACGGCATATCGCACTGTTCCTTGCTCCTAATTGCCAATGGAGCCGTCTGAACAGGCCAGGAATCCACGGTGTTCGAGCACCTGCAGTACAAAATGTCTTTCGCATCCGTTTGACCCCTAGAGTACCTCATTCTCGTTGCAAACGATGTTTCAGGACGTGGAACGCCCTATATGCTACGACATAGACATTATAGACTATTGTTACGCCGCAGTAAGTCACATAGCAAATGAATCGTTTAAGATCAGCATTGCAGATTGTTCTGTAAGCCTCATTGGTCATAACTGCTTAGGTGAGCTATTAAACCAAGAAACGGTTCCATAGCATTTCAGCATCTGCAGTGCCTAAGGTAATGTTGCGTGAGAGGATCCTTGCAAGTACAGATGGTGGCAAACAAAAAAGATGGCGTTCATAGAGATACAAGAGGGGGACAAAAGTCGCGAATCAACTGTATGATAAACAATTTCACAGGCAAATGTTCTTTTAAGATATGTACTGTTTTCAAATGTATCTATTGATAAATTTAATGGGCTGATTTTTACTACATCACCGTTAAAAAAATTTATTTGTTGATGTTACAGAGATTTCGAAGTGTCGAGTAGACTTATTGTAACAGACTTTTAAGATTACCTTCTGAGAGAAACCGCTTGCCCCACATGTTCTTGCCATGCCCCCAACCGCCTTTCTTTAAGCGGTTCGAATCATCAAGGGTATCACGAAGGCTTGACGCGTCTCCGCCGTCTCTTTTGCCCCACATATTTTTGCCTTGGCTCCAAATTCGCTTGTTCGGGTACAAGAAGCCACGGTCATCTTCGGGAATGATGGCCGACAGAAGATAAAACTTCCTCCTTGGGACGTTGTTCGAAAATGGGCTGTGGACATCGCCGGCCGGCGCCTCTTCAACGAAGTTCGCGTTGGCACTCCGACACGCCTCCAACCACACCAGCACAATCGATGCTAACCACAGTGCACCGCCGAGGATTGCCATTTTGGGACCGTTCTCTGGATTGTGTCTAAAACACGCGAGATTAATGTTACCAACAAAACGACGCCTTTTCGCTTCCAGCGACCGAAGCGCGTATCTCTCGCCCAAAACTGATGTGACACCGAAGAGAGCAGATTTCGACTGAAACTTCTAGCAGTCCCCTGCGTACACCATCATATACGGTACATGGAAATTAACCAGAGAATAAGAAAAGCAGCATGACCGGTCCCGGATAAACGGGGCAACCACCTGAACGAGGCCACTCGTTCAAACACCTCACTTGAGGCGTCTGGTCACGCCGTTTCATGAGTTTGGTCACTACCGTAAGCGAAATTTATACCCATTGCTTACGTCGACGCTTACGTCTTTAAGTTTGTTGCGCAATTATGGCTCACCATAATTAATTTCACCGACGTACTGACCAATCGCCGCAGAAGTGTCAGACGAAACGAGCGGAGTCTATCGTATGTTCTAGCGACGAAGGTCAAGCAAGAATCGCACAAGCCAGCCTTCAGGTACGAAACACTGGTCGATCGCTCGACAGCGAGGAAAGAAAACTTCAAAATATGACTCAGGTTGACCCAGGTTCTGTTGCTTCACCTCAATTGCAATCCATTAGCTCTGACATACGTACGCAGAGGCATGAGGAATTTTCGCTTCCTCCTGTGTCGCCAAGTTCTCCTGCGAATCAGACACTGAAACGTATCAAGTCGTACAATGTTGAAGGTCGCATAAGCTTCAGAAATAACGTGTTTTGTTTCAGTTAGATCCTTATGTGGAAAGTGACATGCGACGAATGCGCGAGAAACAACCGTGCTTTGCTTTGAACCGTTCATACCTCAGAGTGAAAGCGGTCTGTCAGTTAACTACTCCGAGGGTGAGCGACTGCCTGAGAGAAATCGGCAATTTCTATGGCAATGCGTAAGGCATGACTTCCTCTATTACGGCAGGCAGAATACCTATCATTCTTCTCTAAAATGGCGGAAATGTACTGGAAACAGTAAAAAATGAGTCGACTGAGAAGAAATGAGAAAATGAAAGATAAACGGGAGAAAACGAAAGACCTACGATGAATGAGAAAAGGAAGAAATGTTAAAGATAGGTATAACGAGAAGACGCAGTGAAAATGAAGCTGAAAAAAGACAAATCGCGGGTAAGAAGAAAGGCAAGATGAAATGCCAGAAAATGATATGGTTAAGAAGAAAGAATAGGCTGGTTATGAGAAGGAAGATAGGAGGAGAATGTACCTTGTCCTTAGCCAGACTGATGCACCTACCTCGGGTAAAACTGGTTATAGATATCGTGATCAGACTCTTGCTGAAACTCAAGGAAAAGATCCTAGACGAATCCAATCACCAACCGAATGTCTGTTTATCCTGGTGTCCGTCGCTGCAAACTAATACCCAATCAAAATATCGATGTATATGCACCTCCGCCCTACAGAAGTCTACAAAAATCTGTCGCTCCATTCATGGCGCGCTGCTTTGACGAATATTCCATAAAGGGGTGAGGATTCCACAAAATTGAGCTGAAAAGTTTATTTGTGCATAGCCTAAATTTTAAGCATTAACATTCAATTCAAGATTAAGAAAAAATGCAGACGATGGAAAGGAAAAAAATACGAAGAGGGAACATTGAGGAATAGAAAAATGTGACGGAAAAGATTATGCATACTAAGAAAGAAACGAATTAACAGATAATAAGTTTGATATATAGGCGCAACCTATATGGATACGTAGGAAATATCGCACAATGACCAGACAAAAGATTCATTCCTTGTAGAAATTTGGTAGGTTTCCTACCTTTGGATCTACAATGGGAAGCTCAGGACGCATATTTGGAATCGGCCAGTAGGGAATATGCCTCAGCTGACTTATTTTGAGTTTTACAAGCCTAAATAGCGTTTGTGTACAGTCAGCTGTTAATAAATATATTGTCTACACTACTAAATGATGGTTATGCATGTTACCCTAAATCGACTTCAGCTAAATGCAGTTTCACCTCAACAACATGACCGCTGCTACAGGCTTGCATCCGAGTCACATGAGTTCTACGAAGGTAGGATTCTTGAATCTGTTTCGTAAACTTTTGTGTTCTATTCACCATGACGATAAATTCAGTTACTCCTAAGTCTTTTGGTTCCACTACTTTTATGTAGATGACTGCGGAATAACTTACTGTAGAGCTAAAATGGAAGAAATTTGCTCTCTCCTGTAAGATATCTTGGTTGCCCTGAAGAGTAGGAGCGATAAGGATCGCAAT